GTGTGCTTGATCGAAACACCTGATTTTCTGGTGCAACTTTTGTATTCAATTTTAAACTGTATGACTACAAATTAGATCAAATCGATTTTTTTTTATAAAAAAAATAGATCATTCTCATTTTTAATGTTACAAAGAAAAAGCAAATTTACAAGAGGACTATCTAACGGGGCGCCCAATGATGCATTTCAGATATTAGATTTTTAAAAAGATAAGATTAATTAGAGAAAGTATATAAATGTCAGAGAGAATAGTAATTATTAATGTGTGTATATACATGATAGATTAAACCTTTCGATTACCAAAAAAAAATATAGATTAGGTGCAATTTGAATGTATTAACTAGTGTCTGTTAGACACCCATTAGAAAAACTCTTTTAAACTTATCCCCTTATAAAATTTTAAAAATTATTGATTGTTAGACTTATACACGATAAAATTCTAAAAATAATTAATCAATATACGTGATAGAGGTAAACAATCGTAGATTGAACATACAAGATAGAAACGAAATCCGGGACACACAAATTTCCCAATCAAAATCCTAACTATTCTTTAGGATCGCATCAGCAATTCTTCAGCACTAAATGATAAGACAAGCGGCAATAATTGATTTCCGCCACTAACAGAACTGACCTCTCTTATTTACTTTAACGTCATTTTTTTGGGGGAGAGTGGGCTTCAGTGTTAAGAATCGCATCAGCAACTCATCACCACTAAATGATAAGAGGAGCAGCAATGATTTGATTTCCACCGCCAATAGTTTAGCCTCTCTTATTTACTTTATTTATTTTCACTTCATTTTCTAGGGGGAGAGTGGACGTCGGTGTCAAGAGAAGTTCAATACGAAAACAAGAAGACGAGAAAGGGGCATTGTTTGTTTAATAAAAAGGCTGATTTGGATGGAGATTTTAGTCCACAAAATTTTTAATAATAATAAATTCTGAGAATATGTAAAGATTCCCCCACCCGTCCAAATAAAAAAAAAAAAAGGAAAAAAATCCTTCTGGGAAACAACAGTTGACTCCTTGTGTTAAATCAATTACCTACTTTCGCGGATCCAATTATTGCCCCATGCTCGTGTGCAAGGTTTGGTGGCAAGGTCAAAATTGATTACATCCAAAAGCTAACAAACATAGCGATTTATCTATGAAAATAATTAATGATGCGTTTGATAAAAAATTCGAAATCTGAATTTATTAAATTATTGAATTATTAAGTATTAAATATAATATATTTGAGTGCATGTTACATTAAGTAGTTTATCACTTGATTTTGGGAGTAAGTTTTGCTGCCTAAAAAATTCAGTATCACTTAATTAATTTAGATGTTCAAGTTTTGGTTATCAAACGATCTGAATCCATTAAATTTAAGTGCTGAACTGGGTTATCAAATAAGACCTAAGTGTGTAATGAAAAAGAAGTTAAAAGAGGGGCACATGATATCTGATAATGTGGCCAAAATTATTAATGTAACTCCGGGAAAATATATTTTGATAAGTTTCTTTAGATGATTTTTCTTGTTTAAATTGCAAAAAGTTAACCTTACAAAGCAAACTTGTCTTCCATCATTCCATCAAATGTTTACTGCTAGAGTTACTTCCACGTGGAATGGAAATATATGTACACATTTCCTGGAAAAATTGGAAGAATATGATTCATGGTAATACCATAAACTTGAAGTAGACAACAAAGACAGATGATGTCGTAAGGGGTGAAATCCAGTTTATTGTCGTGTACTTGAATTGATAAGCTCAAAAAAAAAAAATTTTTTTTTGAAGTAGATGAATCCCAAATAAGATATTCTTTGAGAAAATGACCTACACAGAGGTGCATAGAAAGAGAGGCGTGCAAGAATTGACACTTACTGATGTTTTCATTTCTTAACAAGATGTCATTTTCTTGAAAAATTTTCTGTACCAGTATAATTTGTACAAAACAGCTCATCTACTTGTTGATACCAATTTGCTGACTCTTTTTTTTTTTTTTTTTAATAGAATTTTGGTCACATAAGTTTGGCACATGTTCCCGAGTTTCCAATTCATCTTCCTTTTTTCCACGATGCAGAATTAGTTGCCTTATTTGCTTGCTCTTCTTTCCCCGTAATGGCAGCCCTTTAATTTTCCAGTCAGTGCTTCTTTGCTGGACTCAGTCTCTATGCCTATCAAACAAATGTAACATGGAAAGGTTGTTGGACTTGGGTCTGTACGTTGTTAGTTTCGTCTAAGATTTTAAAAATATCACCTATCTTCTTTACTTTTCTTATTTGTGTAACAAAACTTTTAAAATCCTTGAACTGCCCTTTCGCTCATTTTCCTATATAAAAGTACTCCTAAACCACTTTGTTTACTCCAAAAAAAGTTACCACTCGAAAAATAATCTCCAATAGTACCACTATATCACAGAGCTATAGTCCATAAAATTACAAATTTGAAAAATAAAAAAGATATTTGTAAAGAAATATACTAGCACCAATTCAATTATAAAACCGATTTCTTATGAACTTTATTTTTTTTTTCCCAACCTCTTCTCAACCCATGGCCCAAGCCTTTAAGCTCTACTGAATCATTATAAAAATTAACTCAAAATAAACAAAGAAATCATACTCCACTCTGCCCTAATCACAAAAAGAAAAAGATAAATAAAATTTTACTATAATTTATAGATAAAAAATTACAGAGGCATGTAACAAAATGAATAAGAGAGAAAGTTCGAGAAAGGGGAAAGAGAAAATAGTGACTTTGTTTCTTTTTCTTTAATTTTTATGAACTCCATTTAATTGATATGCGAATTATGTACCAAGTGAGGGATAATATAGTCATTTTAAAATCACTAGAGGAGGTAAGTAATGTTTTTAAAATTTCAGGGGTCCTAAGTGATATTAGAAAAAAAATCTCAAAAGAGGTTTTAATATTATCCCTAATTTATAATACAATATTATATGATCAAGATTGGTTCATGTATTATGAAAATTCTACGTTTCGTTTAAAGAACTATACCCTTATATATATATTCATCTATTATAATTGTTGGTTAATTACGTCCTCTAAAGAAATCCCATTAAAAAAAAAAAAAGAGGACCACTACTGTCACTGTGCAATGAAAGAAATTTTGCATATGCAATGGTATAACTTCTAGTTTTACTCTACCTTGACAAAAAAATCCCCGAGGCTTTTTTTTAATACCTACTGAAAAGTAAATGAAATGAAAACCACAAAGGAGCATATAAATCTTTTTTGTCATTTACCCTGGATACTTACAGCCACAAAGGAGCATTACAACATCCTAATTCAATTGGAATTAGAGACTAGAGCATATAAATCTTTGCTGTCTAGAGCATATAATCTTAGCTACTCAGTTATGATATTCACACGGTAGAGAGAGAGAGAAAAAAGGAGGAAAAAAAAAAAGACAACCTTAAATTTAACGTATCGCTCTACAAGGAAGAAGAGATGAATTGAGTGGTTCGGAGAAGGGAGTATAAGTGAGAAGTTTAGAATTCGAATCTTTCCATTTATACTAAAAAAGTAAAAGAAATAACATATCCTCCATATATAGTGTCAGTCTACTATAGTTATGAACTATTTTATCATGGATTTTCTTAATAAATACACTTAATTTATAAATGACTCATTGTCTCCCTTGCATTTATACTCTTACCCAATATTTATTATTCCTAGTTCAAGAAAAGGGACAATTTAAAAGACTTCTCTTAAGATTTCTGACGATTTCACTAAGCTTCTTTAAAGTTCCAAAAATTACATCTACCTGTCTGGTTTGATAGTTTTAGGAACCAAAACTTAAAATAAACTTGACTTGGCCAAAAAATTTTAATGAATAACCTACATTGCCCTTATTTAGCGAAGTTCAATATTCTTTCCCAAACAATTGTAGAATAATGCAGCACAATTATAAGGAATGGATGTCAAATTTTTCATACTTATATTTATTGTTTGATAAACAATAATTCATTCACTATTACAGGTTATTCTTTTTAGTGCTTTACCGGAGACACAGATTTTTCCTGTGGAGAAGAAAGTGCTGCTATAATCTTTTGTTAGTTTGTGGATTTTCGAAGTGATGAAGCTACCACACTTTGGTATGGATTTTCTTTTTGAGTGGATGTTGGTTTTTTTTTTTATACCAAAAAAGAATTAGCAAACAAAAAAAAAAAAGGATCAAATCCAAAGTTATCTTCTCAAAAAAGGTCACTAGCTTGAAAGTCGATTATTACAATGCCTTCGGCAAGCATTGATAGTTTTATAGTTTTGTTGGCAATATATAAAAGCAAAGAGTAGGAAGGACAACAAAAAAAAGAAAAAAAAAAAAATCCGAGTAGCCATTCCTAGGCATACCAAACAATGGAGAAGCATTAAAATATAATATTGTCTTTTTCAATGAATAAAGGAGTTAGGTGTAATTTTCAAAACCTCAAAAGGCACTAAGTGAAATTGCCATAAATGTTGGACGTTAACTATTTCTGTAATCTCCTACGAAGTCTTTAACTCTTAATAATGATTGTGGTGATGCTTGTGTTGGTGCAGTACCACGTTTACGTGCTCAAAAATCTTCTCAAAACGGAACGTGTTTTTCCCCACCATATCTTCTTCTTCTTCTTCATATCTGCCGTATTGTGCAGGCAACCCCAAGAGTTGCTGCAACTTTCTTTTCCTGATCATAATAATCCTACAGGATCGAATCAACAGCCTTCATGAATGGTCACCTTTCTACACATTTGGATGTGGAAATATGACAAATATAGGTTACAACTCATAGAATTCTCGTCGCTTTCACTGGTTATGAATTATGATATCTCTGCTCTGGAATCTAGTTGCAGCAGCAGTCGGAAGGATCAACCTGATTATGAACCCTGTATGCAGCAGTACATGATTTCGGGTTAGATTGGGTTTCCAAGAAGATATTATTCAGGGCAAGTACTTCGATGTCTCTGGAAACCAGGTGCTTAAAGTCTGAATCTGCCCAGAAAGAGGAGGAAAGCAATTACCCTTCATGCAGCCACAACTCAGCAAGAACCTTACTATACATGCATTAGTTCACAACATACATACATACATATATATTGTTTTCCCAGTGTTGCGGATCTACAGAGACACTTTCAGAGGTGATAATTACATTAGCATCCTCGACTTGTAAAACTTTACAAAATTTTTTATTACATGAACTTGCAAGAATGGATGCTATACTGTAGTAGTAATAGGTATGTATATATATATATTTATATATGCCTTTGCAGTAACTTCAAAGTTCATTTTCACCCGGTAGCTAAGTTTTTTCTCTGTGTACCGGTCAAAGCCCAATTAGTAGCATGATATTTGGCAGAATCCTCCTCTGCTTCAACTTTCACATGATGTTCTTCGTGCCCCAGGATTGGTACAATTCTTCAAGTTGCAAGGTGTAGATCCTCCTCTCAGGTAATTCAACAGACAAGAATGGCCAATTAAATTTTCATCAGAAGTGCAAATATGGCCAAGACTACAAAAAGCGCATGGGATGCTTGGTCCGCACTACAGATGCCTGAAGTGAACAAATAGTATCATGTCAAAAAAAAAAAAAAACCAAGCAAATATAAAGATAAAATAAACTTGGAAAAATCTTTCTGATTTTTTTTCCGTCAACTACGGTCAGCACTCATCCAAGACATGGAAGCATTAGAACGTGAAAAAAAAAAAAACCAAGCAGTCCACTGTACAATCCAATCAATAAGAGCATCGTAATATTATGTCTCTCTTTCACAAAACCACATTTATTTAGAAGCATTATACTAGAACTAAGTTGAGGGGAAGAATGTTGGGTGATAACTTGAAAGAGAAACTTCTAATAGAAACACTCAGTGATGGCACATAACAAGTTGCTTAGAGTTCTCTCCCACCACAGCCACAAATCCCTGCAGTCCCCCCCCCAAAAAAAATCCATGTGTCAGCTGACACATCAGTCATCTGGTTTTGTCATGAATAACTTTCTCTTTGTTTTCAAGCACTGTGAGAGCAACTGATCGTTAATTTCAATTTATGCACTCAAGCAAGAAGAAAAACTAAACTGATGCACAGAGGAATGGATTTTAGCACTTGTCAAGTAACTCCAAAGGGAAAAAATAGTGTTCTTACTGCTTTGCCCAGATGCTGCGGCAGGAAGTGCGGGAATTTTGACAGCTGCAGAAAGAGAAATTTGGAAGGCATCAGAAATGCTTTAAGGAAGAGAATGCATGCCTTCATTTCATACATCTAGTATTCCAGCTAATAAGTTGCAAAAAAATAAAATAATCATAATGTACTCCACATACTCTTATTGCATGATGAAGCTGGTAATTGAGAAGGAGCAGGCCAGGGAGCTGGAATATTGTCATTCAGATCACAGAGGAAGCTCAGACCAGTAGCACTGTCAAATACTGCATCTGATGGCAAGCTAGGCAAAAGGCATCCAGATTCTACACCTAAAAGATGCATTAAGGACATTTGGAAGGATGAAGTAAACACCACAAATGAATATTGTAAAACAACAATAAAAAATTGGTGCCCATGATCAAAAGGTTGTCAAATCTCAAAGATTTGATATTATCCTTCTTTAAATTGATTCCTTTTTTTTTCTTTGCTAAAGAGGAAAAAGCATAATGCTCTATCTCAGAGTTGATGGCTTCTGGGAAAGCAAGGATAGACAACATATCAACTAAAAAATCATTCTTGTACCACGTGCCTTGATATGTAAAAGAAGCTGAGTTTGGGTAGAAGAGCAGAGAAAAGGACATGATGTTCTTGAAGTTTATTATGCAGATTTCCTCAAATTCATCCACACTTTGAATGCTGCAAGGAAAACAATTGGAATATTTGATCTACACAAGTAATCACCAAAAGCGAGGGAAATATCAAAACACGTGTCAAATTGATATTTTCATCCCAAAAGTTCATTTAATGAAAACACATGTCAATTTGAATGCTGCAAGGAAAACAATTGGAATATTTGATCTACACAAGTAATCACCAAAAGCGAGGGAAATATTAAAACACATGTCAAATTGATATTTTCATCCCAAAAGTTCATTTAATGAAGGATGTTGAGGAGAAAACAGCACGACATTCCAACCACCACCACTGAAGAATGCAAACATGAGAGGCAACTATATTTCACCAAAATTTATGTTTCTGTTATCTGCATGTTAGAAAACAATATATCCCCTAAGATCCTTACACATGCCTGAAAACCTAAATAACCCTATCTAATCAAGATCATACAGTCCTACATATTTTAGCGTATCACTACTTAATGAAAAAGAATACCATATCAAAGAATTTGACCTTCAAAAACTTCAAATTCACCAGAAGTTTGACATGAGACAACACAGCCAAAAAAGTGCAGATCATGATCAATCATCTGGTTCAGAACATCAAAGAAAGATTAATATATGTGATATCCCTAAATTAGCTACAGGGTAGGGCTAGAAATCCTTTTAGATATTTATACTTGACATTTAAAACAGAGATACTCATATGCTTGTATTATACTAAAGAAAAACAGAACCTGTTATTAATAACTGTAAAAATGAGCAAACAGAGCAACTGTGTCACAAAATACATATTGATTTACTAGCAACAGAGTAAAAAATGGAAGTATATTGCAATTTTACATTCACATTTATGTTAAATCACAAAAGAATCTTCATAAATCACTCCTAAGGCCCGGGACAAACTAAATTTCATCATTTTGGTCAGTGGGGGTGCGAGTAGACAGAGAGACAGAAAAAGAGAACAAAGTTAAAGGGACACTGAGTGTACAGTTGGTTAGGGTACTTCTGAACATCATCATGTATTTCAAGGAGCAAGAGATAAATGATATTCAAGATTTTTATTAGGCCAGGCAGCCACAAGACCCAGGAATTGCTTCTTCTTGTACACCCTAATTATCAGTCTTCCCTGATTTTTTTTTGCCTAATTAGTACATCCTAAGTATTGTTTTGTTGTTTAACTGGAGGTATACATCCTTATTTGCAGTTTGTTTAAGGAAACAGTGAAGACTTTTCAAACATGAAGGTCAGAAGACAATTAACTATGTCACAGGTTATTTAACTCCAAAAGAATAGTCTGAAACATGGGTAAATTAACTCACCTTTATTAATTTTGCAATTAGATAGCCCTCTAAGAACTTCTTTTGCATGAGAAGGATCAAGTTTACTTGCCAGCCATCGAAGTACTATAGTTCTGCAATCATTTATTCGAGTTGAGTGGTCAGCTAGTGCATGAGAGCCACCCATGCTCATAAGATCATAAGCTTTTACAGCCAGCTTCCCAGCTGCTTCTGCTATAGCATTCTCACAAACTTGCTTGCAACATTCATTAACAGTGTCAATCTTCCCACAGGCTGCAAGAAGACTAGATGAATCCACTGTGCTCTCAAATGCATTAACATCGCTGACTGGGCAAGAACCTTCAGTAAGGTTTGATGGATGGATGGAGCATATACGGGGCAGAGTGTCATTGGCACCCTGACCCACTAGAATTTGCTCAAAATCAGAAAGGCAGGGTTCTGCAAGAGTTCCATTTAAAGCAAGCATATTGGTGTCCTTACTAGATTGACCAACAAGGACAGTAAGAGTGGCATCTACTTGAGGGCAGCATATAACATTAGCTAGATATGGTGCAAAACCACCCACACAATCAATTGATGTCATCCTCATCATGCTTTCCATGGCCGCAAAGTTTAATATGCAGACTCCTGAGAGAGAGAGAGAGAGATAGCTCAACGATGATATAGAAATTTATAATCCTCTTGAACTAAAATGGCAAAGATTAAAAAAGAGAAAGGGCAGAATCGAACCAGATAGTTTTGGTATACTGCTGTTGGTGAATGGTGAAAATGGAGAAGGTGCCAGGAGAGGAAGAAGGGGCTGAGGAGCTTCACTGGGAGATATTTCAGGCAAGAGGGCATGTTTTCTTTGAGCTATCACAGAACTTTTGATATAACTTGATGAACTGCAACACGATGTAAATAAGCCTGCATAATTAACATGTGTACATGAGAGACAGTGGGAATAAAGATAGTACTCAATTTAACTATAAAATCAATGGCCAAGGCTCATGTCAATTGCAATTGTGTAAAAGAAACGGAAATCATCATATACTATCCCAGTATGTAGCAGCAGAGTAGAAGATATTAGTTCTAGACCACAGGCAGGAAACCATACAATCCAACTTCAAGACGAATTTCAATCAAACAGACAACTAGGTTCACTGTGACTTTTCTTACATTGAAGATTTGAAGTGGAAATGATTGACAAACAAAAGTACTAAATGAAACTGGAATTGATACTCATACAAGTTATTCGGAAAATTAAAATCGAGCCGTAACTGTAACAGTCCTAAGGTAGCGAATTCCTTGTCGGGTAAGTTCCGACCCACATATCTTTTACCACGATTCAACTTCCCAAAGCATAAAGCATGTGAGAATGTAGAGAAACGCACATATATTCTAATCTGCTTAGATCTATTTCATACCAAAAAAGAAATTGAGTTTAAATCCAAAGGACCAATAAAGAAAACTTTCATACTTCTTCATGAATTTCATTATATTCCCTTCTCCTTAACATGTTTCATTGTGAGCTATAGTTTTATGTTTGTCTGACCCCTTCGAAATTTCTCAATTTAAAGGAAGGCAGATATCAAGTGTATAATGGTAGTCACCAAAGAAGCTAAGACAGGGCTTAAGAGAAGATTATCATCCAAATAAACTAATGTTAACGCTAGGAGAAGACACCTTATAGCTAAATATTAAGGTGGAAGAGCCCAAAGCCCCGTACTGGAATCCATAACTATTCAAGGCCCCCATGTGCAGCTAACTTAAACAGAAAGTGAAAGGTATCTACAGAAAGTAAAGAACAACAAATACGGCCAAGAAGTCTCAAGCAAGATCATCTTTTATGCGATGTTATTATACAGTTTCCTAAGCCCTGCAATCTTCCAATCCTAACAAAGGAAACATTTTCCCCTTTTTCTTCCCAACATAGACCGTTACTTACTGAGAAGTACGTATCTCCATCAGAACAAGCATGCATTTCTGCTCTGCCATGTTAAAAAAAAAAAAATGACGGCCTTTCCATTTGAGGTGTCATCCTTGCGTGGGCCATGCACTTCTTACTTCAACATCTATTATGAATTTTTACTTTATAAAGATTGCTTGGCAGAATTGTAGCAAGAAAATAAGATGATACTCGTTTGACATGCCTAGTTGAAGCATGTTACAGACACTGACAACTGCCTTCAAGTTCCCAACTTTAAACCCTAATTTGGACAAAACAGCAAAATAACGCCACCCTATCCTACCTCAAAGAGCCCCAGTAATAGACGTAAACCAAGCTAGCAGAGCACACAAGCAAACTCTGAAACCGGGGTTGATCATCAAGAACGGCGGTAATTTAAGTTCATTTTCTAGTCCATCAAATAATGTTTAGGTTACATTAAAATTTCAACAAAGTGGCAGCCAATGCAGCAATTTCACCCCAAAGATAACCTTAAAGTAGCAATTTGCAATTTTAGCCTCCACAAGCACTCACAAAACCAACAAAGCAAGCAAATAACCAATTCCAGCTAATTCTTGGGATTAAAGAAAAACTAACGTAAACTCTAATCAAAACCCATTTAATGTTACGAATAGATCATTAAAGATGCATTAAAAACCAGCCAGGAATCAAGAAAATGAGGTAAGAATACTTACAAAGAAGTAGCAAGAACACAGAATGAAGATAAAAATTGGAACTTTGAGGCTCCCCTCCGCTCATTCCTGCCCCTTTTGCTCTCATACCACTTCCAAACTGAGTGAGGCACTAAAAAAGGGGGAAAACAAAATGCAAGAAAAGAAACAAAAGGGTTTCAAAGCAAAAAAGGAGTAGTCTTGGAAAAAAATCCCAGCTCAGAGACTAGCTATAGCTGCAATGTGAACGTGAAGACTGGAAAGAATGGAAAAAAACACAAGTGGGCTGGTGAGGAATGTAAAGAGGGAGAGAGTTAGAGTTGGGGGCAGCCATGAATGAGGTGCTGAGAGGGCGTGGGGACAAAAGCTGTAATTAGCAATAGCTGTCTGAATATTGTGAAGACCCCACCCCAACTGAACTTCTACTCCTACTAATAACTAGAGCAGAGATCAGAATGGAGAGAGAAAGAGAGATAGAGAGCCAGTTTTAATTACTATTAATTTCTGGGAAACTCAGACACCAAAGAAGTCCCCATAGGCCATAACCAACAACACATCCCTGCTGCATTAAATTCCATTTAATGCCTTTTTTTCACGCTTTGTTTTGTCTTGTTTTAGCTTTCTTTCATAACGCGCATGATTGGCACGTGATACTCTTGACGCCTATACTTCGCATTCACTCCACAGCTCCACACACTTTCTTAGAGATTTGAGGGTTGACTGTTCGAGTCATTTTGTTTAGCCTCGATCATGCATGTGATTTCTTCTTCGTGTAACAAAAAGCTTGGATCACCGCCACGACGAATCAGGGCATGGCCACAAGGATCATAGATCATTTACAAGATTCTTAAAAATCACTAATTAAGACAGACAGTTGTCTTAATTAGTTGTCTTAATCATAGATCATTTACAGTTGTTCGAGAGTAGAATTCGAATATATAAGTTCGATAGAGTTTGAGTATATAAGTTTTTGGGTAAAATACAAGGAATCCCTTGTGATTTCGCGAAAAGACACCTCATCCTCTTATCGTTTAGAAACCTGCACATAAACACCATAAACTTTATAACTAAAGTGCAAATTACCTTTTGAACCGGCTTAGTTACCGGCAGAAGGTCAAATACCCTGGCAGGCTGTCCAATTCCTTCACAAAAAAGAAAAAAGTTACTGTCCAGGGAAACTAATTTGTACAACATCGACCAAAGAGATATCTGCGATTCGACTTCACTCTCCCACCCGATATAAGCATACAGAAGAGAGAGAAGGCAGAAGCGAAGAGATCCGCAACACTCCTCCTTTCTCCAGTCTTGCAATGGTATCAGCAGCATGCGACACCACCAAAGCAAATTTGCTATGAATCAGATTCTGCCATACAGATTGACAAGAAACGAGCTTTGTCAGGAAAATTGGTGCTGATAATCACGTGAATGCAGATGTCAAAAAGAAATGTTTGCCAAGCTTGAGAAGATTGAAAATAAGAGATTGTAGCTGTTACGGACTTCGAATCTGAGGAGAAGAAAGTGCAGTGAGGCTTGTTAAAACAGAGACCCAATGCTTCAGGTCTATAGGAACAACATTGATGAAAGAGGGAATATGGTATCGCAAGATTTTCCATTCAAATTTTTTATTCTGAGTTTGAATATCCTTCAGAACACTCTGCAACATGAGACGACCTTTAGTAGTGAAGACATACCTTTCATTGTTCAGAAACGGGAGAGTTGAGTTCTAGCTTTACCATGTCTGTCATTGAATGGATCCTCAGGTGAAAAATTGCTAAAATACATAACCAGTTCAATTTCCATATATGGCAAGCAAATTTAGTCAATGAAATTCCATCTGGAAGTTGTAAATTTTTAAAAACCAGAAGACACACGGATCAAACACTTTATCCAAAACCTGTGCCCACTTAAAAAGCAAAAAAAAAAAAAAAAAAAAAAAGGAATTAGCAGAAGTTGAAATACTGGTCCTGCGGATTTATTTACTATTTGTATTTGTAGCCCTGGGTTAGTTCTTCACTACATTAATTTCGAAGAGATCGGTTAATTTTGGCTCAGATCTTCTTTAGCCTTTGGAATTTGTTTGAACCTTGCCTGAGTGTAGCAGTCAATGAAATCCGATGTTGTATTTTCGATTCTTTAATCTGTAGTGGATTACTCTCCATTCATGGGGATCGAGAAGGGTGCTGTTCTGCAGGAAGCGAGGGTCTTTAATGATCCTCAATTGGATCCTAGGAGATGTTCACAGGTCCAGTTTTCAGCCTGCCTTGTTACCTGATATTCGACCTGCACATCCGGTTAAAGGTCAATTTTCACTTTAGTAACGAAGTTTAAGGTGTTTATGTGCAGGTTTCTAAACGATAGGGGAGTAAGGTGTCTTTTCGCGAAATCACAAGGGGGTTTCTTGTATTTTACCCTAAGTTTTTTCATAAACAAAGAAACGATCGATTCTTTTGAACTAAATCAACTTATATTCATGATTTTGGTATGGTTAGTATACCAAAGATCATAGTAAATCTTATGTGTCCGTCAGAATGTTTATAAACTTTTCCAATACAGTTTTAAATTTGTCATTTAAATACAGACACTTACATTCATTAACCTTCAATTTAATTTTTATAAGAAAATAATATGTAAGACCTTGATTAATAAGTACCCGGAACATTCATTCATTGGGCAATTCCAATAATTATAGTTGCCACAGTTGATGACATTAAGAAGGAATAAAATGATCCATTATCTTAACTAAGTGGGTTCTTTGTCTTTTGATTGTCCTATTAAGGTTGGAATCTCTCTTTGCTCAATTTTTTCGATGCCCAATTAAGGGAACTCGTGATCATGAAGTTTGTACAAAATGGTTCGTACACTAATTCTTCACTTGTCAAAGCAAACCAAAAAAAAAAAAAAAAGTGTTGCAATATCCCACACAGTTTTATTTATCTAAGAGTTGATATTGAAAAATTTCAACATTTATTGTTAATAGCTTCTAAGCTTAGTAAACTTCTTGGCTAACTCTCTAAAATATCAATTCTATAGAAAAAAAAAACACAAAACAATTTATTGTACTAAATTGAGAAATATTGCATGGCAAACTAGAGCAAGTTGAAGAATTTCATGGACTACTTCTACTTGTTGATATGTCTATATAATTTATGCATCTCAGGAGCTGGTGTTCGAACTGCAACTAATATAGAGAAACTCTAGGTCCTAATTTTTTTTTTCTTTTTATGGATGGTATTTGAGATTTGAGAAAGATCAAAGAATGAGGGACTTAGTTCTATGGGTTTGGAGTCTGCAACGTTATCTTGTTGTGGGCTTCATTTGTGTTTGGTGAAACACGATGAACCACCAAAAACTCTCTGGGCTTCAACTGAGTGAGTGAAGACATGGGCGATCAACAGAAGGCCCACTGTAGCTGCTACGAGTGCAAGGTGCTCAACTTTGTGATTTGGTTTTAGTTTCAGAAAGAAAGAGGTCCATGTAGAAGCCCAAGCTTTAACAAACTGTTCAACTCTATGAATGTTGTGGAATAGTAGTATTTTGCCTTCTTGGAAAGGAGGCCTGTTAAGTTGGGGTTTCCTGTGGACATAGTTCCCCTTTCAACTTGTCTTGGCAAAAAAAAATTCTTGGTTGTTTGGAGGGATTGGTGTTTGATCTTAGAGTATGATACGTCAATGATCAATGGAGCTCCTTGGCAACTCGATTGAGTTAGATTTAGTGGCTTTCAGGCACCATAAGTATACTGACAACAACGAAGCGTAACTTAGTTAGTAAAACGCTTTATCTGTAACTGACAAGTTACGAATTCAAGTTATCAAGAAGATAAGCGGAGGATCACCATTGATTCTTTTAAAGAAAAAAAAAAGTGTATATTGACACAGAGGATTGTATAACCAAGTTAAAATGGTACCAGCTAGAAGTTGTTCTGTTAGTCATCTCGGCTCAAAGTTCACTTGCGCAATTGGATGCTGTGAAATTGAATGTATCAGTGATGGATTTACACAGCCAAAATATTGATCTTGATCCCTCGAAGGATGTCCTGATCCCTCGAAGGGTGGCTCCCGCTAAATATCCACAAAGTCCTTGGCGACATCATTATTGCTATTATTTATGACAAGGAAGAAGGCAATGGAACCACTGGTTCACAGCGATCGTAAGCCTAATCAAGAGACTTGTGTCTCTTTCTGGTAAAAGTAAGCTGGAAGCTATTCAGCATTTGGGAGTGGGGATGCCTCCGGGCTCCATTCTTCTCTACTCTATAGCACCCTATTTTTTGTCCACTTGTACCAAGACGGCCGAATCTATCACCTTCCACTAAAAGCATTTTGGTTTTTCCTATTTTCTGGATTTTTGGGACCTGGAATGGATTGGAGCCCTAGTGCTACTCTAACTTGCATGCAGTAATTTAATTTTGCTTATGCTATTCTTCTGATAATTAAAAATTTGGACGGATTTGGTTGCAATTACTACTGCAAGCGCAAGCAGGGCATGGTTCGGGATCATAAGTCCGAAATTGTTACAGATTGTCCATCAACGTAGTTTTCTTTCACATGAACGGAAGAATTTAAGCACTTTTTATATATTTTTTTTGTTAAAGAAAGAGACCACAGTGAGCTGATTTTGCGTTGGCATTCTACTTTAACAGCTTTCCACTTATATCCTACATTGATGAGATTATACCAATTTAGTTGAAATGGGTAAATAGCCGAAGATGACAACTAACGGCAACTTGGTACTTTAGGTGGGGATATACGTCCACAGTACACCCGTCATATACAGTTGTGACTTGCAAACAATAAACATGCATCACCGCAGTACATTGCTTATGCTAAACCCCATGTTTAATTTCCAATTTTATTTTCACGTCAGAAGATTTGAAGTAACCGAACACTAGGTACTCACAGAAATTATTGAAACCTTTAGATTGAATTTTTTTTTCCTTCTGGCAACAGCAACGACAACAATCTACCCTTCTCCCATACCAATCTACGTTACTAAAAATAGGAAGATCAAAGGAGCTTTGTACGGAGAGTTAAGAGAGGTGAATCACCAGATCAGACAAGCGTATTACTGCGCTCTCTAAAATTTTTAAGAAATGAAATACTATGTTATATGCACTAACTAGGGTTTGAATTTCCGATCTAGCACACGGGAAAACTTTAGATTAATGGAGAAGCGGTTGTTCAATGTTCAAATATTTCAGGGCAAGATGGTTGTAAAGTGTCAAACCGATCTTGTGCTTGAAACTGAGTTGTCCCTAAGAAGTCCTACATAATACTAACCACTTTGTTGAGATATAAACTTACATGTTTTCTTGGTGATCAAGATTAATCATCACCCAAAACTAGCAATAGGGACCCTCGTCTATCTCGAGAATTGCTTTTTGCAAATGTATGGATTGTTACATTAACTCAACTGTCGTGCATTCTAGAAGTGCTCAAATAATTGACCTGCATTATTAATACTAGTACAACTAGCTTTCAAGTTCCATTATATTGAAGTGTATACAATGTGGATTCACAAATTCATGATCTCATTGAAG